GAGGAGGAGGAGGGAGGGGGGCCCGCAGGAATGAACGGCCGGATTCCGTTAGTCGGTGGGGCTCCCGGTGTGGATGGAGATGGGGTGAGATAACGGGATAGCGGGGGAGGAAGAGGAGGAGGAGGAGGAGGAGGAGGGGGGAGACGGAGGCGCTTACCCTCTGACAGCTCCAGCTCCAGCTCCGCCAGCCGGGCTCGGATCTCCAACGGGATCGGCGACGCCTCTCGGTCCGCCATTCGGCTCGCTCCGTCGCAAACACCTCCCCGGTTGTGGCTGCTGCTCCTGCCGCCCGCTCCTCCTCCTCCTCCTCCTCCTCCTCCTCCGCTCGGAAAGCTGCTCCTCGGCGGCCCCTCCTCGGCGGAGGCGCGGAAACGGTGCGCGGCGTCGAGGGAGAACAAAGGCGCTAAATCTCGGTGCTGCTAGCGGCGGCCCGCCATGGCGCCCGGCTCCTCGAATCGCTGCAGACCCCGGTGGCTCGCTCGGCTCGGTCCGCTGCCGTTGCGGTGGTCGCGGCGGCGGCGGTGATGATGATGATGGTGGTGGTGGTGAGGAGGAGGCTCAGCGGCGTTTGCTGCTCCTCGCCGCTGCTGTCACGTGACTGTGGGGAGGCAAGGAGGGAGGGGGGGCGGAGCCGAGCATCACCGGCAGGGGGCGCAGCGGCAGACCACACCTGCAGGCCGGCCACACCTGGTCACGAGACAGCGTTCAGTTTCACCATTAGTTTCATTTATTTACTTCATTGCCCCAAACATTTTATTATTTTATTTTTTATTGTTATTTTTGGTCCAATTAACTTTATTTTTGCATTATTAGTAAACAATAGCTTTTTGTGTTTTTAAATTTTATTAATAACTTTTCTAGTAATTTTAGTTCGATCGTTCTCAGTTATATTATTTTTTTAAACGTTATTATTTATATTACCTTTTTATTAACTATGTTTAGTGTATATTTATTGCTTTTATTCTAATTGATATTTACTTTTTATTTTATTATTAGCAATATTTAAATTTATTATTTTCTTTCTTTATTATTGGTCATCTTTAATTTCACACTAATATTTTTATTTTATTTACTTAAACTATTATTAGTGTTTTTATACCTTTTTATTCTTTTATAATCTTGCATTCATTTATTTCTTTATTTTATTATTAATATTGAATTAATATTGTAATAATATTTCTTCATAATTTATAGATTTAGTCATTTTAAAAATTTACCTAATTTAATCTGTTTATTTTTCTATTATATTTCTATTACTTTTATTATACGTTATTTATTTATTATTATTTTTAACAATATTTTATTTTTAGTTTAGTAATATTTTATAATTGGTAATTTTATATTTTATTAATGTATTTATTTTACTCTTAGTAATCTTTATTCTTCTTTTCAGTTGTATTTATTGATAGTAATCTTTTAAAAAAATATTTACTTAATTTAGGTAATTTTTTTTATCATTAGAAATCTTTCCTTTCTTTCTTTCTTTTCTTTTTTTTTTTTTAAAGTTTCATTTACTTCTTTATTATTTATTTCTTGTGTGTGTTCAACAAAGTCGAGGACATTTTCCCTTCTTGAGAAGTCACTTAGTGGAAACTTCTAAACCTTCCAACCACATTTTAATGCCTTCGTCAACAGATGCTATTTAATTCTGTTTCTCAGGCACATCATTTTTCTTTTTTTTTTCCATCAGTTGTTTTTTAAATAGCAAAACATCACGAGTACCTTCTTATTTGGCATAAACACGGTCTGATGGTGGAAATACTACAGCCTGCATCAGAGAAAATAAAAGTATTTCAGAAACAGGAACTCACCTGGATAATGAGGTCAACGTGTTCTTCAAACGAAAATGGTCCCACATTTGACTTTCTTTAACGTTTGTGTGACGTAATGTCCCGCTGAATGTGGAGATAAATCAGAAGAAACCGTTAAATCTGACCAAGAGCAGAAGCAGACGACACCCTGAGCTTCCTACCTTTGATTTTAGCTGTTAAAGTCAAACACCGTCTGCACAATTAGACTTAATTAGGCAGCATTTGATCAGAGATGCTCTTCTGTTTCACGTCTTTCTTCTCCTCAACGCTGAGCCTCTGCTTTTAATGGGGTCATTCCTTATTGTGGATACTAAGCTTCAACAGAGTAATGTGATTAATATTAAAGGTCAAGGAGCCTTTAATTAAGTACAGTATGATGGAATGAGCCTGATGCGGCTGCGACACATGACTGAGCATCGGTTTGTCCATCTAACACAGCGTATTTCATTAGTATTCTTGGGCCCATTCATTAGGCCTGTAGCCCTGCAAGAATCAAATCATCCTCATTGTAAACAAGTGCTGCAGCCTCATTATGGAGTAATCAGTGCAATAACGGGCCTCATCTGCCACCTGCTGGTTGGATCAAGGAACCACAATAAAGGCGTGAAAGTCACATTACGCAGGCTTTTATAAGAAAGGACACTCAGTGCTGCTCCTGTATGCAAATGTGTAAATGCGGTGTTGTGGTGACGAGAGGCTGACATTAATCCGACTGATGCATCGACACACAGACACACAGAAAACGTTTAACTTCAAAGGCACTTCTTTTTAATATTTGTTCAATATTATGTACAACTGTACAAGGTAACATGTGCCACAAACGTTCCTGCTGTTACATTTAAAACTTCATATTCCAAACAAGAGAACACTTTCATCACTACAATCTAATTCAAGTTCTCAAATACAGTTCAAGTTCTTTGCGCTGAAACAGTGCTGGTTCATGGACACTCAGTAACTAACCCGCTCAGCTAAAGGCCACCTGGAGTGAATCCTAAACCCTGGACACTGTGGCACAGAGCTACACCAGCTAGACACGACACTAAAGCTTCAACACGCAAAAGTGTACATAAAAATATGGCATAAATGAAATTCTAAAATGAAATTTTAAAAAAAATCATGCAGAGATACAGGACTGGTAGATATTCAGCGCTTTTCAAATTCAGTTTGATCCCTCGACTAGTAAGGTACTTACTAATGCACACTGGACCTCGGCTCATTACAGGCCTCAACATCTGAAAATGGAAACAACCTGCGTGACGAGCACTAATATTCATTAAAAAAACAAAAACAAACATTGTGTGTGTCCACATGTAGACTAAAGAAAAACACAGATGTATGAAGGGGAAAAAAAATCAAGAAAAAAAATCACCAAATCGAGTTTAGAATCACGACGGCATCCTGTACAGGGAGAAAGAGAAGAAGAGCCGGCGCCATCAGCAAAACAAGGATAAATCAAAATCAAACCTGGCTCTCAATAAAATGACCTCAACCTCAAATAAAACCAAAGTAAAGTAGCAGATCAACATTTACACGTTTGTCAAAACTTAACTTAAAACTACATTAAAACCTGAAAATTTGGCTTCAAAATCCTGAGCGAAAAGTCAGAATTTATCAGTGGGTTGGCTTCATATCCGACCTAAATTCAGTTGATTTGAAATCTGTGCTTTGTGTAATAATTCCTCCTCACAGTAAATCTGCAGCCTAACGACAAGATGAGGACCTCATAACATACATGTTCAGCTTCTTAGACACTCATAAGACAGAAAAAAAGAAAGGAAGGAAAAAAAAAAAAGGTCACAAGTGTCTCTTTGTCCATCTTATCTGAGGATGTGTTCTTCCTCGGAGGACGCCTGGTCAGCGGGCGGCGCCGGCTCGCTGGCTGAAGCTCTCTGGCAGATCTCAGCGTAACTCGGCTTCTTGGCCTCCTGGACAATCGGAGCACAAAGTCAGGATCAGTCTCACAACAATCAAGTCAGAAAACAACACTGAAAAGAATTCAAAACTCAAATGTTGTAAGTTAAATTTAGACTTGGCAGCATATTAAATCAGAACCTGGTTATTTTATACTGAAATGATGAGATCAGACTTGGATCAGAGCAGAACTTCATCAGCTGGTGATTCAGCAGAACAACAATGAAGAATAAAACAGCGACAAGTCAGCTGCTGCTTTTAACGGCTGTTTGTAAAGTCTACGCTCTACTTTGTGTCCATCAAACTGAACAAAACGCAGCCACGCTGATGACCCCTTTGATATGATGTCAGTTACTCAAACTAAGTTAGACCTGCTGTTTGTGAAAACGTGGAGGTGTTCACAGGGTTGTTACTCGTGCCACCAACAATAACGGATCTGTTCTGGAAGGCTTCATGTAGAGCCTTTCTCCTTGTGAAAGTAACACCAGCGACTGTCTGAAAAATCTGACTTTGGTTGAATGAGAGCACAAAGACACCCGACCAAGCTGGAAATTACAGCTTTAGGAATTGATTGATGCCATTTCCACATAAACTGGCATCATATCCACTGACAACACTAACGATAGAGACAAATGAAAAGAACCAACAGGAACTGAGCGGGTGTTTGTGAGTTTGTGCTACGGTTTGATCCTGCTTGTTGTGGTGACAGACAGATGTGGGCAGATGTGGACTTCAAACATGAAACGCTGACCTGCAGTGCTGCTCTAAATCATCCATCCAATCAGTTTAAATCATTTAAACATTGCAAATATAAAAACATAAGCTCAGCTGGCACATGCCAATGCATACAATGTAGTATAAATAAAAGCAGTGTGGGAGAGGAGCTGAACCTGAGGTCTGACTGCGACTGGTTCCTGTGGGAGCTGAACTGGTTCGGCCTCACTGATCACCTCTGTAACCTCCTTGACTTTCCTGCAGAGACAAACAGAACAATCTCAACACACACAGCTGACACCGTGACAGCTGGAAAACTGTCGCACATTAACACATGAAATATCTTTAGAGCACAATGAGTGGGTAAGCCGGAGCTGTGGCTGTGGACTGTTCATGGTGTTTAAAGTGACAATGAGCAGTAAAGAAATGGTGAGGAAATGTGAAAATGGAGCATTAAGTGGAACAGGCAGAGCAGAGTCGAATCAAGTCCGGCAGCATCCGGCTGCTGTCTCAGAGATACTCACTGCTGTGGGGCCGGCTCCGGCTCTGCTGGCAGCGATGTGTCGAAGCTGCTGCTTCTGACTGGACCCTGAAAACACAGTTCAACCAACAGTGCATTTATATGTGTGTTTGTGACTTTAACAGTCTGGATTCTGAGGACGAAGAGTTCCCTTGATGACCTGACACTCAGTGAGCAGCATGTGTGAGAGACTTGATACCTTGGTGCTGCTGTTGGCTGCAGGTCTGGGTGTTGTGACGCTGTTTGTCGTAGAAAGAGGAGGGAAGCTCGTCAGGCCGAGCTCAAGAGGAGGAGACGGCTGACGAGGAGGCGTCTGACTCTGAGGATTGTACAGACACAAACAAAGTGAACCTAAACAGCAACGCTGCTCAGTAGCTGCTTATTAGGGATCAGCTGATGTGTAGTTTTTCAGACCTAATGTGTAAAAATCTTGCTGCAAAAATGTAGAATGAAACCAAATCCAACACAGAACTTTCAGTTAAAAGAGAACATTTCAGCATTCCTCCCTCAGTGTTGACAGGCTCTTATTCCTAACATGTAACCAGGTAGATGGTGCTTTGGGCGGGTGACTACAGCTGCATCACAGCAAAGCTTCTTACCTGACTGTGGTGAGCAGACCTCTCCCAGGTCCTCTGGTTCTCTCTCCTCCTCTGGCTGAAGTTTCCTCTCCTTCAGAGCACAGACACACAGTCTGACTGATATCTCTGCATTAACAATCTCTCCTCTAGTCTGGGTTTCTCTTATCAAGTGACATCATGGCTGTTATTTTAGACTTGGAGATGTCTTTTGTTGCTCAGGTGGTCAAAGCAGTTCACTCTTGGTTTGACCGGCTGAGACAACTGACCACCATCAGGTCATTCATCTCCTCTGCAGACTTACAAAAGGCCATGACTGCTTTCATCTCCTCCACACCTGACTATCGTGGTGTACTTTATTCTGGTATCAGCACACCAAACATCCAAACACAGAAGTTAATTTAAAATGTTGCTGCCAGGCTTTTAGCATTCACCCAGAGAAATGAGCTCATGTCTCCCGTTCTAGCCTCACTTAGCCAGTCTGTTCTGTAGCATCATGTTGCTATAGGAGGAAAGAAACGCTCTGGCTTGCTTGTATTTCTCTAAACCAATCATAACCGTCTTGGTCGGAGCTAGGTGAAGGACACAGCTTCGGTGTTCTCTCAAAACAGTGACGGGTGGAAATGTTTTGGTGAAACATTTGCATGCAAAGAGACGAGTGCTGTGGTTGAAATGAAGAACCCACAGAAAGAAAATATAATTACAAACAAACTCTGAGGGAACTGCCCCTCTGTTTGAGCTCATGTCAAGGCTGCAAGTTTGTTTGTGAAATAAAAGTAAAGCAGAAAAACCACAGGGTTTCAAATGTATATGTGATGTTAGCTGTATTACAATAAATGTTCCTTTTGTCCTTTTATTTGCTTCAGCTTGCTAAACATGATTTATGACATAAGGTCTATTTCTGGTTTGTTTTTCAGGAGCTCTCTTGACTCTAAGAATGCAGGATAATTACTGTCGTCCATTTGGCTTCGGACTTAGAGCTCTTGGTTAGTTTGTGAGAAGCCAATGAGAAGGTGAAATGGACCAGAACTACAGGGAGGATGTGACTATTTCTGTCCTTAGTTGGGACTGAATGAAGCTAACTACAGGCTGTAAGGCCAGAACGCAGGACTTCTACTTAGAATCAAACGTCTGTTACATGCAGGCCAAACAAGTTAAAACTGAGCTCCATGTAACTCTCTCTGTATGTCACATCACCACAGGGTTTTACACACACATCGGCGGTGATGTGTTTTGTGTTAGCCAGCGATGACTGGTTTGTCAGAGCTGAAGTCACTGAGTCACTGTAGCTACGGAGACGGAGAAGTCTGCTGCAGCTAGAAGTATGCTGGAGCTGAAGGAGAAAATTTAGTTCCCGTTTGTTTTCACAACAGGTCATGACCAGCTTCCACCACATTATCAGAATCCTGAAACACCCAAACCTCTGAATCTGAACTGATGTTTTGTTACCTTCCTGGCTCAGAAATTGGTGACATGACTTGCTTGTTCGGCTCCGTCCTTCCTCCTCTGCCCTGACGGCGTGCGTTGCCTCGCGACCGGCCTCGACTCGACTTTCCAGAGGAGAAGGGATCCACCGATGGCTGCTCTGATGACTGTGAGGCGTCATTCTGTTGGGACTGCCAGCGGTCAGAGTTGGACCACCTCGAGCCTCTCCTGGAAGAAGATAATCGTGAGACCTTATGTTGGCCAGCGACAGCAACAGGTGATGACACCAGAAACAGACACGAGACGGAGGAGAAGCTACCTCGGCCTGTGTGGGTTGTTCGGTTTGAAGTTGGATGCTGTAGTGAAGCCATTCATGAACTCGTCCATCAGTAGTGGAGGCTGCTGAAAAAAAACAGCAACAGGCTCATGACCTCGGAGCCAAAACAAGACGAGACACAAACAGCAACAGTATCCACAAATCAAAGAAAATAAACGATGGATGGAAATGTCACCGCATGAGAAGCTAATCAAAGGCTGCATCACATTTCACTGTCCAGTTTTATGTAATATGTGCATATGAATGTTACTGCCAGTAAAAGAGGAGAGAAATAAGTCAGGACGTTAATCTGCCACACATGGAGTCAGTTTAGTGAAGTATTTTGTTACAGGACGTATGAACCACAACAGTATGTGCGTTCCCTGTATTTCACACAGCTAGCATGTGTTAAACTAGTTACAGAAGTTTGTATTTGTAATTACACAATCACACAATTTGACTGTCAACATAGTAAAATAACTGAACAGCCTGTTAGCTCATTCATTTTTCCAACTTCATGCCACACAGGAAGTTGGAAAAAGTCTCCGTAATTCACCAGAAAAATGTTAAAAGTTAAAAATTTTCAATGCATTTGAGGCAAATTCTGGACAAACAGACAGAAGGTGGAGTTTCACCGACACATCAGAGATCACAAACAGAGCTATGTGGAAATAAGGCATTCATCTGCTCCATGTTGTATGCATGTATGTCATAATTAATCACGTTATTGTCACATAATGTAAGCCGTGGAAGCACTCACCTCATCACATTTTTGGTATTCTGTTGCAGCTGAAGCCCACATCTCACTGGTCAAATCGTACAGCGGTTGTGTCGACATGTGGGCGGGGCACGACTGCTGGTAGGAGGTCGGGGGGAAGTAGGAGTAGTGATTGGTGCACTGGTCCAGCTGTGCAGGTCGGTAGCCATTGTTTGGAGCGTAGGAAGTGGCAGCCATTGTTTTGGCCTTAATCCTCACCATGATCGGCTTTCCCTTAAACACCCGGACCTCCTCCCTGAGGTAGGTGTAGGCCTGAAGACGCACACGAAGCAGGGAGACATCATCTAACCACACAAGAGCTTACAAACATAATACTTAAAATACTTAAAGACTCGTTCTGATAGAAATGTAGTTTTTCACCTTGTTGACATGTCTGTATGCTGTTTTTTATGTGTTTTACACTGTGGCTGAGCATTTCCATCTTGAAACCGATGACAGTCTCAAAAACATGGATTCATACGTAACAACCGAAGCGACTGATCCTGACTACTTGCAGTGTTCGGCTTTCTCTGTTATTACAACTTGTCATTGTGTAGCAGACAGCAGTTTTGCGGTGTTTGATCAGAGCTGTAGGTCAGCTGGTGTGTTCAAGCTTCCATGAAGGCAGAAAGAGGCAGGGACTGCTTAGACCTGCACATTCTAGAGAAGTGTAGAGTTACATCAAAGCCGATTCAAAGTAAAAACGGATCAATTTAATGGGGAACAGCAACTTCTAATTATTACCAGAGATGATGTTTTAGGGGTGCAATCAATGACTAAAGGAAGACTTTAGATTCTTTGCACTTGTACGGTGCAAACTAGCAATGAATATGTTGAACAATTCATTGTAAAACTATAATGTTGTTCGAGATGACAAATATCTTCTACCTCTTCATCATTTAACATGATGTCACACTGCTTTATCAACATGCTGTAAGGGATTAGAAATACTGGAGCTGCAAAAGAATGTTATAACGGTCAAATTGAGCAAATTAGCCTCTGCGTTAATGGTTGGGAGAAAAGTCAGAGCTGAGCAGTCTGCAGGTTATAACAAAACATACAATAGAAATAGATATCCAACTCTTCTCATGAAGCTTTCTCAGTGACAAACATCCCTTCAGTCCTCATGAACATAATGAGGTGGCCGGCTGTGTCTTACCTGTTGTGCATCGGCCTCTGATTTGAAGGTGATGAACCAGTTGTCGTTGTTCACAAACTCACAGCTCAGGAACTTGGGCAGGTTCTCCCCTTCAAAGAGAGCTTCCACCTCCTGTATAACACACAGCATTAACTGTGAAAACTTTTTTTTAAAAAAGCAAAAGAAAGCTTTTTATCAGCGTCATTACTATGACACGATGACACTCATCCAGGTCTACAAACAAAGGTGTCTAGTCACAAGCTATTGCATCCGTTTGAGAAGATGCAAAGAATCTGAATTTGCATCAGCGTGTAAGAACTGAGGAGGAGTTGTGCTGTGCTTGTGTAGCTGCTGGACTCTTGCCTCTTGAGGTGTGACGTCAGGAATCTCACGCAGGATTACGACACAGCGGCACTGGCTGGGCCGGAATTTCTGTCCACATGGAGTCACCTGGACCTGCGGCATGGCTGCCAGCCAATGAGAAGAGAGAATGTTTCAGGACAACAACAAACTGCATTCATCACTCTCAGGTTGTGCTTGACTTTTGAATGGCCAATCATAGAATTAATTCTTTTGTGTCGATTTAATACCGAAAAAATTATTACAAATACCGACTTGATTTGTTTTGCAGGAAAGCGGATCCTACCATGAGTCATTTTCTTTATTTTCCATGAAAATTATAATGATTTGAATCTAACACAACCTTTTCAGACCAATTCTGGTTCTAAATCTGCCATAGCATGAGATTACTAATCTGGCTGATGGTAAAATCTCCACCCTGAATAAAACTCAAACACATGCACAGAAACCAGCTCTTACATTTCAGAATATCAGAGATGAGGTCCAGGTCTGTGGTGAGATTCTTGACCTTGTCCAGGCTGGTGAGAGTTGCGATGGAAATGTACTGGTCACTGTCCATCTGAGACTTGAGGTACAGGTCACTGCCAAGGTGTTCCCTGAGGACGGACAGAAGAGCTGCTAAGAGCATCCAGAACTGACGAGTGTTGGTGATGGCGAGGTTACTTAAGGTTATGACATGTTAAAGATGTTGGGCAAACCCCAACAAAACACAATATTCATGTCCAAACAAGACAGGGGAAAATGTCTATGTTGTTGTGTTCCTTATAACTACAGACATGAAAATGTTCGGTGACATGACTTTTTAGTGGGATGAGCTGTTACCTGGTCAGGCAGGACTCCAAAACTGTGGTCAGCTCTTGTCTGATCTCATCTGAAATCAAAAGAGTTCACTACTTGAGCTCACAGAGGCCTTCACCTGCTTCTTTCTTTAACTTGGACACATTTTTCTGTAGTGAAACATAAATACAGTTCATATAAACCTAAAAAGGTGACTAAATCAGATTTCTACCTGAGACAGGTGGGTCGCCAGACTCTCCATTAACTACAGGAGCTTCAGTGGTCATTGTCTGGTACTCCAGGGTTGGATCAGTCTCAGCCAGGCCCATGTTCTGCAGCTGAAACTCTGGCACATACCCTAAAAATACACACCACAATAACTTAGCACCACATAGTAACTCAGGCATGTGTGCGGTCAAAGGTAACTCCAGCTTACCTTCCTGACCAGTCAGATCGTCGGGGACCTGCAGCCACGGCTGCTGGAGCTGTGGGTAAGCAGTCTCAGGGATGTTCAAGTTAAAGCTGTGATTGGTCCATACCTCAGCATCAGGGTTAAGGGCAGGAACAGGAGCCTGTAACAAAAGACACAAACATGCATAATGTTTAGGGAACAGTCAGGTGTCTGACTTTAAAAAAAAAAAAAAAAAAACCTGAGATGCTAAGTTGTATCTGTCACTCAAAGGTGTAACTGAAACAAATAAAATCCACAGAACTAAATAAACTTTGCCTAAATATTAACAGTGAAGAAAAAACAAAAATCTGATGTTGTTTATTTCCTTTATCACATTATAGATGACTATACTTCAAGTTCTAACACTTTATCCACCTATTTAAAATATTTCTACAAGGACCTTTTCAGATAATTGACCTTCTGAATCAGAGTTTATGCAATCTTATTAAATCAAGGCTTTTAGAAGACGTATATGAACCTGAATAAACACTTTCTTTGGAAATGTATTATTCAATTCTTCAGTCAAGCTGTGAATAAGTACCAAGGACATATGCATGAACAATAAGTTGTTATGCAACATTTTTCAAAAGTAAGTATTAAAGAAACGGCCTGCTTTTATTCCAATCATGAATACTTTGTTGTCATCTGTTCAGCGTGTGTTTTGTCTGTGCATGAATGTACCCATAAATAATGTAAATTACTGAGACACTCAAGTCCTTCTCTCACAGAATTTCATGCATCTTTTAAATATTCTGGGAATAAGACAGCTATATTGAATGCTTTCACTCAACCCAGTCACCCCACATGTTGAGTGAACACTTACAGACTGAGTGCAATCTGTGTGCCAGTCCCACACACAGGATCCTTGAGGCAGCACAGTGCTGTAGGGGTAAGCTCGCAGCAGAGCCATGGAGGGCTGCAGCTCCGACACCGAGGCTGGGATCAGCTCTGCGTCGACACCCTTCTTGCTCTCCCCCTGGTCGGGCTCGGCATCAGACGCCCCCTGAGCCCAGCCCTCACAGTTCTGATCCAGGCCCAGCTTGATCCAGGGGTGAGGATAGAGACGGCAGACGGAGGAGTCGGCGTCCTCTCCCAGCAGCTCAGACACCATCTCCCTCATCCCTCCTTCCTTCTCTCCCTCCTCAGCAGCAGCAGCTGATGGTTCAGGACCCAGGAGGTGAATCTCGTAAGAAGGAGTGGAGGCATAAACATCAATCTGACCTGGGTCCACTGCGATCAAAGTGTGATCCTCTTGGCAGTTTAAGGATTCGGTTTTATCATCCTGACAACTAAAGTCATCAGGAATCCTGTATGAGTCACAGGTGCTGCTTGCAGCATGGACGTCAACACTCTGTGGCGGGCTCTCAGGAAGTAAAATATTACAAGTTTCTGTATCAATGTCCCTCTCTAATGTTCTAACGTTCTCTACTGGTGATGTTTTCATCTTCAGCTCATCTATGTCTTCCAAGTCATTTCTGTTTGATGAATCTCCAGATTGAGGTAAACTGTCACCATTTTCACGCTGCAGGTCAGCGCCAACTTGAGGTGTCACACAGTCAGAGGAATAATCCTCGATCTGACCTGAGCCCACTGCGATAACAGTGCAATCCTCCTGGCTGTTCAAGGCTGATGCGCTGTCATCCTGACAGCTAAGGGTATCAGAGTCACAGGTGCTGGTGGCAGCCTGGACCTCAATACTTTGGGACGGGCTCTCAGGAAGTAAAATATTGGGAGTTTCTGTATAAATGTCATTGTCTAATGCAGGGTTCTCTACTGGTGGACATGTGTGCATCTTGACCTCATTCATTTCTTCCAACTGATTTCTATCTGATGAATCTTCAGGTTGAGGTAAAGTGTCACCAGTTTCATGCTGCAGGTCAGAGTCAACTTGAGGCTTCACACACTCAGACGAGCAAATATCGATTTGAGCTGAGTCCTCTGTGATCAAAGAGAGATCCTCCTGGCAGTTTAATGCCGAGGTTCTGTCATCCTGACAGCTAGAGTCAACAGGAATCATGTATGAGTCACAGATGCTGCTGGCATCATGGACCTCATTGCCTTGGGTCGGCCTCTCAGTTTCTAAAATATCTGGAGTTTCTGAATGACTATCACTGTCTACGGCAGAGGACTCTACTGGTGATGTGTTCATCTCCATCTTAAGCATGTCTCCAGAGGAATCTGACTGAGGCAAACTGTCACATGTGTCATGCTGCAGGTCAGCGTAGACTTGAGGATTCACACAGTCAGAGGTAAATATTTCAGGAGGTTCAGAGGTCAGTTGAGGACTGTAGGAGAGCTGCTCGACTGTATTCTCAGATTTACGCTTGACTGACATCAAGACAAGCTCATCAGTGTGAGTCCACGGTGCCTCCTCTACTTCCTCACACTCATTAATTAATACTTTCTGTGGTGGATTTGTCTTCAGTTGGATTTGGCTGCATTCATTCTCAGCAGCACTAGTTTCAGCCTCAGATGTGCTCTGAGAGGCAGCTGAGGAAGAGGGAGGAGGAGCGGTGGGAGCAGCAACAGAAAGCTCACTTTCAGCAGGAGGGGGCTGTGTGAGAGGATCGTGACTTGAATCCTCATCGCTGCTCTCAGACTTCTCAGGGCCCTGAGGAGTGATGCTGGTATTTACAACCACACAGTCGTCACGGTGTTTGGACAACACGTCACATTTTTCATCACTCGTCTCCAGGTGAGCGGTGTTTTGGCTCGTTGCAGGTAAACCGGTTGGACTATCACCTCCCTCAACATGCTTGCTTTCCTGAAGAATAACTGGTTTTGGCTTTGTGATGATCTGTCTGTCGTATCCACTCATCAGGACATCCTGGAGAGGCTCATCTGAGGCAGACACCGCCCCACATTCAGTTTTCACATCACAGCTATCCAGCATATTTTCACGGTCACCAAACCTGGTATTGCTTTTCTGAGAGTGACTGAATGGCAGATGAATATCTTTGCTTGAAGGCTTTTTGCTGCTTAGTTCAAATGTTGAATCATTTGAATTAACATCAGTTTTGATGGATCCACACGGGTGGTTTCTAGTCAAATCTGAGAGATGTGTCACATTAGTGTGGCAGCAGAGGGTGGTCAGCTCCGTGGGCAGCGATGACACGGTGGAGATGTTGGAAATTGACGACACCTCAGTGAGAGTCGTATCTGCTGTGCCGCTGTGATCAACATCCCCGTCTGAAACGTGACTTCTGCAGATGCTCACAGGGATGGGCTCGCTCTGCAGGGGGAGCCTATCCAGCTCAGTCTGTCCTCCAGGCAGACAAACAGCATCCCCCTTTTCTTTGTGGGGCTCTACAGATGTGGGGCTCTGACAGGAGGAATTCAGTTCAGGAGTTTCAGTGGCTGAACGTGAATTTTGGACGTCCTGCTTTACTCTGAGTTCAGACTGAGACGGATCAATGATCAGAGGACTAAAGTCAGAATTCACACTTTGATCAGCTTCTTTCTCCTGGAAGTCAATCGCTATTTCTTCTGTGGTATTAAAGCTTCCCCCTGCCGCTCTGTGGTCCTTCAGGTCCACAATCTCCTCCTCTGAACACAAACTTGTGTTATGTCCACAATCCACACTCACACTCTGCTCTGTCACTGGTATGTCCTCTGACTCCTTCACTGTCTCGCCCTCTGCACACTCCTTCCCCTCCTCACATGCATTTCCATCTGCGTTTGCCATCACTGAGCTTGAAGCATCATATGTGAATTCATGTGTGTCCTTCACAGCTGTCTGGCAATTCAGAACTTTAAGCTGAGGGCTGTCAGGTGCAGATGCCTGAGGGTCCTCACTGCTTATATGATCGCTGGTGAGAGGCAGCGTGTCAGACAGAGAATCCACCAGCTGAGGAGGCACAGCGGGTTGTGCTGAGACGGTTTGCTCTGCTGACAGTGAATTATCAGTATGTGTCGGTAACAAGAGGATGGAAGACTGTTGATCAGCATGTGACTGCACAGAAGCTGCTTCCTCCCCATGTGACTGGTTGGTCATTTTAGGTTCAGTGACATGTGTGTGGTTGTCGGCTGTAGATGCCTCTGAGTGTGATTGGCTGCAGAGCACAGACTCCACTGTACAGGGCGTAGCAGCTGTTTCTGCTTCAGCTGTGAGCATTGACTGTGTTGCTCCAGCTGTTTGACACTGGTCATGTTCAAGGTCGTCTGCGTCAGTTGGACAAATGCTGTAGAAGTTGTGGGTCCTTGTTTCCAGAAGTTGACACAGTGTTGTTGTGATGATGCCGGCTTCCTCACCATCCTCCTTGTTGTGCTTTGCTTCGGGGGAATCCTGTTGTGTCCCCTGACGCTCACTGAACAACGGAGGCTGGTCATGTGACGTCTCACTCGCTGTGACGCTGCCCAGTAACCTGGCAGGAGCAGACCAACCGGTTCCTGGTTTGAGCAGCTTCTGCCCCTCCGTGGACTGCTTGAACCATAATGCCCTGACCGTGGCATTGTCCAGACTCTTCTGTTGGACTGGACTGTGTGTGGACACCTCCATATAGGGAGCCGCCTCGGTGCTGGGAACGGCGGTGCATGTCACGCCTGCCACTGTGTCCGCGTTTGTATGTGTATTTGTGCTGGTTGTGATAATAATAGCCTCCTTCTCCTGAGTGCTCGCTGGTTTAAGATCCCTGTCTGTCTGCTTGCTGCCGTCCCTGCTGACCACAACCGCCTCTGTGTAAGCTTTGTTGTCCAGTTCAGGATGGGTTTCCTCCCTGTCCAGAGGCTTTCCCTGGGCCGGTCCGTCTGGAACACATTTCTCCTCTTCCTCCAGGCACACATGTTGAGCTACAGCAGCAGCGTGTTTCCTGACCTGCTCTGTCGCCTCGCTCAGCCCATCGGGCAGCGGGTGCTGTAACAGGCTGCTCCTCTCAGACTGCAGGCCGGGGTTGAGCTCCTTACTAAAGCAGCACCCCATCTTCTCCGGCCTAGAGTGGGAATAAAACAAAAGACTGCTATGGCCACACACACCAAGAGCCTACACAACATGAGACAAAATCATAGGCAGCTCCTCACGATGGCTCAGCCACATGCAGAAAGAGAAACGACCCTCGACTCCCCCCTGCTTCGTCCCTTCCCTCCCCTCTTTTTCCCCTCCCCTGACCAGAATAGCAAATGTGAAGCAGCTCACATGTCCCTGCCACTCAACAGAGCGCTGCACACTGCTTTATGTGTGTGTGTCTGTGTGTGTGTGTGTGTGTGTGTGTGTGTGGGTGAATTTATGTGGGAGCCCTAGTTAGGCTACAGTTTGAGAGGGGTCAGCACATGGCCCAGCGGCCACCAATCACAGAGCAGAGCTGCAGCAGGGTCCACTCCTCTTTCTCCCCCCACCATTCACTCCTCTTTCCATCCCACTGATACCTTTCCCTTTCACTTACATCAGTGTCGCCCTGCTGCTTTAGTTTCCCCCCTCTAACCTCCGCCCTGTTTCTCCTTACAAGGCCACTGCCCCCAAGAATCCCTGAAGCACCAGTGGAAATCCGGGTCCCAACAATCAGTCCGATTTGTCTGTGGTGGTGGACAAAGACTGCAAACGCTGACATCAGAATGACTTAACTTTTTCAGAAATAATCAATCAGTGTGTATAGCAATCACTGTGTATTACAACATCTACTACATGTCCTGATGGTAGTTTTTCCGTTTCTTATCTGAACTGAGAATGTAAGGTTTGATACAAGTTCTGTACAGATCCCAAAGCCCTTGGAGGCATTTTTTTTATTTTATTTTTAACTACATAATAAAACTGACTAGACCTTTTCAGTACGTACACAAATACAGAACAAGTGTGTGTGGGGTGAGCTTTGATGTTACCTGGTAGAAGTATCCAGGAGGCTCTCCGAGCATTAACTGCACCTGTAGATCAGCTGGATACACTGGATTCTGCTGTGACGTCATGTGACACGGGCTGGTGGGTGAGTGTTCGGGACGAGTGCTGCTGCTGTTGATGGTCACCACGGAGACTGGCTGGATGAACGCTAAAGACAAGGAGATGAATCACAACACCAGCTGGTGTGATGGAAACACTGCAACAGGTAGATTACACAGTATGGACTGAAACTACTGCAGGTGGAACTGCTGTAAAAGAAAGAAGAGAAGCATAACCTGTGCTTGTGATGAGCAGATGCTCCTCAGTCTGGCACTAACGACTACTTCCGTTACTCATTAAAACTTTCAGCATCAGTCTGTGGCAAGCATCTAAAGACAGATGCTATTCACAGTTTAGCAGAGCACAAAATTACAGCTTAGAAGTTCTACACAGTCTGACAAACAGCAAGGTGATCAGAAATAATCTACATAAGATTAAGCCACTAAAATCAAACCAAGCAGCTCAGACTGGTGAAATATTACCAGAGAACTCCTGGTGTTTAAGATTGGTAAGAGGATTAAGAATTTACCAAAAAAGCAATCAATGACGTGTTAATTGACAAATACATAAACTAATATCAATATAATTTCAATAACAAAGATCTACTTAGACTGTTTGAAACACATCACAACGGACCACAAACAACATTTACTGAGCAAACATCACAAACACTTTCTGGTTCGTGCTCCTAAAACATCAGGATTTGCTGCTTTTCCTCTGCTTCTAACATTTGGACTCTTGTTTAGACAAAACAAGTGACTGGAAGGTGTCACCCTGAACTCTGATTTTCTTTCTGTTATTTTCTGATATGTTATTGACTGAGAAATAAATCACCAAGGTAACTGGTCGTGTGAGCTGCAGCCACAGTGAAGGCGATCACAGGAACTGACCAGAGGAAATTAAACTATCATCAGCAAGCAATCGCCTCAACTGATCTAAATACTATCTTTCCTTTATTCATCACAAATAAATGGACTTCAGCAGTGAATTTTCAAGAGATAAAAATCATGAATCCTAAACTTTAAACTGTCTGAGCAAGTAATCAAAGTACTATTGAAATCTCATTATGGCTCAGTGCAATATCTAAATCACAGGGGCTGCAAAGTTTTGATAAAGATGAAATTGTCACAAACGATCAGGATAAATGAGGCATAGTGGTGCTACAGAGACGCTGCGGCCCCAGTTGAAGGGAACGCCTCTTCTTTGACCACAGCAAAAAAAAAAAAAAAAACATATTGTTTTTTTTTAGTTGGAAAGAAATGCAAACATACCATCTGTGACTTACATCATTCAGCCTTAACGAAAACAAATGAACTGAACATACTGCGGATATTATTCAAGTAAATCAAAGTTGACAGAACACCACCTACTGAACAGTTAAATCCCTGTGTAACTGTTTAGGATAATGTTCATCATGTCTTACAACACAGGGGCTGATACTACCTTTAATAAGCTGCCTTACGCTGCTTCACATCACACTGATCATCTGCTCAGCAACTTCTGACCAAACTGAGCTTAAGTGTATTAAAAAGGCAGCATGGCTGAAGAAAAACTTTCAGTATGTTCAAGTCGCTTCACCATTATTTATATTGTACAGTTAAAACAACAGACGCTGAACTAAAGTGGTTTCAAATACAGGAAGAGATTAATGTTACATATTGACCTTACAACTGATAATCGATCTGACTTATAAAGCGCTTTTCTTACTCAAGGAGTAACTCAAAGCACATACAATCAACTGTCAATTATTCATTCACACACATTCACCCCGGTGGTGGTAGCTACGACTGGGGCAGACTGACAGAGGCGTGGCTGCCATTCTGCCCCTCCAATCACCTCAAACAATCCATTCATACACATTCACACCAGGCAAGGTGGTCAAGTGTCTTGCCCAAGGTTACACAGGTTAGAGGGGCGACCTTCTGATCATTGACCGACCTGCTCTACCACCTGACCACAGCCCCCCACAGCCCCCCACAGCCCAAAATATTCGCAAAGTTCATTTTTAAACTCATTTAAAGGTCCCATATTGGGCCTCGTTTCAAATTAATTCAAGTCTCACATTTGCCCAAAATGAGTCTCACAGTTTTTCAGCTCAAAATATCACAAAAATGCTAAATTTCAGTTTATAAACAGGCTGTTCAAGCTGACTTCAGGAAGTAAACTCCTTCTGCGTCTATGTTTGACCAAACAATTAAGCCAATAGCAGCCAAGAAAGGCGTGAATCAGTTCTGTATCACCTCTAACTTTCTCTCTAAACCATCATCTGATGTAGAAATATCCACAAATTCGCGGCACGTCTGTTGTTTTTACCTGTCAGGCGATGTTCAGGTTATAAAGTCTGCATTTTAGCTGCAGATCAGCAGCTTGAAAGCCAAGTGACTGTTAATGTTAACATGTAGGGTTGCTTTTAAGTCACAGTTTCATATTCATTCCCTCGTCTGACAGCAGAAACAGAAAGACATGCAAATACAAACAGGCTAACCTGACAAGGTTAAATATTACCGTTAAGAGCCTACAATATCATAAATAAAACAATAATGTAACCAATTAGTTTAAACATTATGATTAAGACCCTACAATGTCAAAAGTACATCACTAATTTAACAAAATATTTTAAATATTACAGTTAAGCTCCTACAATACAATAAATAAAACAGCATCTTAACAAAATATGATGATACATTAATATTATAATGTATAAAACACAGATGTCAGATGTTTCCCTCTAGTCTTTCAGGCCTGATCAAAGCCTATAAACACTTAGAGGTAAAGCATGAGGAGGGAACAGGCCTGACTTTCACCACCTCCTGGTTACTGACAGGAACTGATTTAACGGCTACATGTCGAGTTGAAGCTCATTTAGGTTACACTGTCAAAACAGGCGTTTCACATTAGAATACTACACTTCCTACACATATGGCTGACAAATCTTGAACAATAAATGACTGTATTGTGATCAAATCATCGTGTTTAAAGCTAGAAGTCAGCAGCTGGTTGGTATCAGCCTTACCTCATTATGAACACGGTTTAAATCCTTTACACACACTTAATGACAGCTAACAACATGAAATAAGAAAACATATTTATAGCTAATGTGTGGGAAAAGCATTAACTTCTGATAAACGTCTGGTTATAGTTTACAGCACAAACCGCTTTTAACGGCTGAGCATCCACAGCAGCTGACGTTAGGCTCCATTAAAGTGACTTTTCTCATTTAAAACGAGTTAAAAACAGACAGTTTAGACGCACGTGTTGTTAAAACTTTAGCTTTTAAACTTTACGTGTATACGCGTGTTGTTAACGAGTAAAAATCCAGCGTTAGCCTCAGTTTAGCTTCTTCTTACCTTTCTGCTGTCCGGAGCCGCTTTAACAGCTTTCGACGCCGAAAACCGAAAATTTGTGAGAAAAACAAAAAAATAACAAACTAGTCCAAGTGTGAGTGAAGCTAGCCGAGCTGAAGACCTCCCGCCCTCCTCGGTGTGAGCAGCATTTCGGGTGAACCGCCTCCCGGCTCGCCGTTAACTGACCCGGTCAACGGCCACCAATCCAAGGGCGGCGGAACCAACGGCCGCCGTGAGCTAACATGCTAACGTAGCCTAGCTCCCACCGGGTCACGGCGGAACCAGTCCGGGTTGTTCTCACTGGCTGCGACTCGGAAACTCACCTGTCACCTGTTGACTGTGCTCGGCTGAAGTCTGGCTCGGTTTTCGGGCTGTCTTGCTGAGTTATTTCTCCTCTTCGTCTCAAATCGCCCGTTTACGTTAATTTCTCATCTGAACCCTGTGGTTGCCATGGAGACTGTAGTAATAAAACCCGGAAATTAATATAATTTCTTTTTTTTTCTTTTTTCTTTTTTTTTTTTACATTTTAAATTAGAAAGCTATGATTCCTCTAACATGCTTCTAAATACAAGCAAAAATGTGATGATGAGCAAGAAAATGATGATGATAATAATAATAATAATAATAATAATAATAATAATAATAATAACAATCCTGCAGCTAACTGCCACATAACTAATTGCAAATTTAAACGTAAGGCAGAATCCACTGTAAAAATGAATATTAAAAAAAAACATTAAAAATTTTCTAAATTACTGTTATTTTACAGAAGTCTGTTATTTTGTTCAAAATTTACTGAAGAAAACTGATAAAATAACTGGAAAAAAATATTATGTTAACAGTTCAAATCAAGTTTACATCAAAACTTGGATTTTTTTTTAAATACAATGTTTGATCAGAAAATTACCAAATCAGCCAAAAACACAATTATTTTATAGATATTTCTCATTTGAAAGAAAAATGTTAAATTGGAAGTCAACAGGTTTTCTTTGTATTGTTAAATTACCGTTAACATCAAATAAATTCCCAGAAAAAGCATTAATATACAAGTCAACTATAAAAAAAAGCCTAAAACTGTCGAATTACCAATATCAACTAATAAAATTAAAGAAACACTAAAAAAAAAAGGGCCAAAACTGCAAATAATGTTCACATCCAAAATCTGCATTTTAATTAACAAATTGTTTTTTGTTATCATAAAATTGTACTATTTTATTGTATTGTAGTCGAAAATTAAATGCATATATTAGATTTTCTTTAAGACAATTAGATAAAAAAAAAACAAAAAAAAAAAACACAACTTTCCATTTGAAAAAAAATCAAGTTTATGAAACGTCATAATTCAAAGTTATCACTATTGTTATTTCTAGACATCTTCACGGGCAAAATCTGAACCACATACATCCATATAAACGGTTTTACGAATAAAATATCTCAAACTGTATTTCAGTGTCATCAATAGGTCGACAGTTCAGTGCAGATCCAAATTATTTCTTTACTTCTAAAGATTCGTTTAAATTCACAGCAGCTACAGCACAAACAGTCTGTTAAAATTTATGGAGAAAATAAGTTAAATCCCATGTTCAGCTGCTGGTTTGCTCTGATCCCAGCATTTGTCAAAGATGTTTGATTTAAAAACACATAAAAAGAAGCACATGTTTACTGGAATTAATTTCCTTGTCGCTAAAGAAATAAATAAATAACATTGTTCAGAAAAAGAAGCTTGAGGTTACCATGAAGCACAAAAAGAAAAGACACACACAGATTATTAAAAAACTGATTCCGTTTGTGTGTTCTCAGGTTTTAAGCCACTTCCATGAGACGGTAGTCTGAGTCAAACTGCACAGTGACAGAGTTCCTGCTGACGGACTCCAGTGTTTTCTCTTTTAATCTCTCCAGCAGTGAACGTGATGGAGCAGAGGCCCCTGAAATGAGGAGTAAATCCAGCGAGGAGCCCCCGAGCAGAGGAAGGCCCTCCAGCCTGCAGAGCTTCAGCAGCCCATCAGGAGTACAGGCTCCAGTAGATGGTGTTGAACAGCAGGTAGGACAGGGGGAAGGCCAGCCGCGAGTACGAGTCGATCATGTAGCTGTTGCTCACCAGCAGGTCCACGTTTTCACGCACCGACCGCTGCCGGCGGAGGCGAGTCCCCTCCGTGGGCCGGACGTCTGGGTTCTGGGGCGGCGGGGTGAGGGGGTCGGAGGTCAGCGTGGGCGCCATGCGAGGGAACGGAGTCAGCTCCAGGTCGTTGTCGTGGAAGCAGCCGTCGAAGGCCATGGCCTGGCTGGCGTTGAAGGTGGGGGGAATCTGGGGAGGCAAAGAAGATGTTCAGGAAAAGAATGCGGCCTCAAGGCCTGGAAAGTTCTAAAGCTGCATTCTTTCTGTCAGCCAACAGGGGGCGACACCTCTGGTCCAAAAACAGCAAATAATGACCACATCATCCATCCATCCATTATCTATACACCGCTTAATCCTCACTAGGGTCGCCGGGGGGGGGCTGGAGCCTATCCCAGCCGACTTAGGGCAAAGGCAGGGGACACCCTGGACAGGTCGCCAGTCTATCGCAGGGCCACATGACCACATCAGAAATCTGTCATTGGTTCCTTTTGTTTGCTGTAAAATGACACTGTTTTACTGTATTTTATTGTATGTATTTATAATAGTAATTATTTGAATCCTGTGCAACTAACAGTGACATTTCAGGGGAGACATGAGAGGAGAAAACATCGTTAAAACATTTTTTTTTAAAGAAAAGAAAGCTTAACTGTTTTGGGGGTTTTTAAGAACAATTTGGGGTTATTTTACAGAATTCCCCTGTTTGTTTGTTTGTTTTTTAAAATTTCAATAACTAATAAAATGACAGGAAAAACAACATGTTAATATCAAAAATCTGTTGTTGTTTTGTTTTTTTTGAAAAGAAAGTAAAATGTAAAATGCATCTTAACCTCCAAAAACACCCCAACTCTTTGTCAGGAAATGCTGGTTTATAAGAAATATGTGTATATGTAATGCCTCCGTTTGACCACTAGAGGGAGACATTCAGTAAAACATGTTTGTTCTGGGTTTAGTCTGCTGGGTGGAACAATAATCCCTGGTGTCCTCTGACTGTCTGACCTTCCCCCTCTTCATCTTCCTCATCTCCTCCAGGGTGGTGCAGTAGTTCACGGCCGCATACTCGATCACGGACAGGAAGACGAACAGGAAGCTGGTCCACAGGTAGATGTCCACCGCCTTCACGTAGGACACCTAGGCAACAACATCACACATGTTCACGTGCACAGAGTCACCTACTGTGTGGTGTGTCCTCTCCTTTAGTGTTTCATTTCAATTATCTTTCAGCTTAACATCACGTAAGCATTAAAATTTAAAAAAACAACAACGTGAAACTGAAAGACAAAGTTAATAATGGTCAACAAACCGACTCTTAGGGTATCACATCCTCTAAATAACTCAAAGTTTGCTCTCATTTTTGTGATGAAGTGGGTCCTGTTTGGTTTTTTAAAGTGTCCAACAGCATCCACACATCCTAAAGTTCTCATGTTTTACATTTTCAGAATTAGCACTTTAAGAAACATGTGCATAAGAAAATATAATGTGGGAAACAATATAATGAAGACAATTTTAACGTCCAATTTTCACCTTATTTTTCTATTTTATCCTCTGATTTCTTTAAAAATGAGTTTGTTGTTGTTAAACTTAAGGTTAGAGCCTTTTTTCTCTCTTTTCTTTCAGGGATTTTATTGTGATACAGTTAAAAACACATTAACTTCTGTTTCAATACTTTAAATAGTAGTTATGATGCTTCACACAGGCAACACAAATACTAATGTAGAGTGCATATTTAATGTGAGATTTTGTAAATGATTCTGTCTTAGAGGCTCGTTTGGAGTTAAAGCTCTGAGATGCAGCATTAAGTAAAGTCATGGGCAGCCTTGAGGGGGATCAGCAGAACCATAAACTTGTTTCAGGACAACAATTTAAAGGGTCGGGCTCACAGACGCAGCAGATACCTGAGGCATGGAGGAGGACACCCCGGTGATGATGGTGGACATGGTGAGCACCGTGGTGATGCCTGCAGGAGGAGACAGGACAGGTTCTACATCACAGCACAGCGCAACACCTTCACATAAGACGTTAGAAGTTTGGATTCTTGTCGTTTGATCGTAGCAACTGGACTTGCTTGAGTTCCTTGAAGACGTTCCACCTCTCATCCAAGACGCAGGTACTTATATCCTAAAGGAGCCGTTAACACCTGAGTTTTAATCAGGGGTTTGTTGCTCCTCCCCCTCGTTATGTGAGTCGTTAGTGCTGCCCCTGACACAAAGGGGTTCGTTAGGGTCTTTTGTGGCTCGGTGTGGATGTGGTTTCATCTTCCTGGGGAGAGTTCTTAGGACTGACTGTAAACAGGTGGGAGGTGATGCCTCAGACCTCCACCTCTGTTCAGGGATGGTCTTTCCAAACCCCCAACTGAAACCCAAACTCAGGTGTTAGTGTCTCCTTCAGGATATCAGTATGTGGAACTCCCAACCAGTCAGTCAGAGCTGATGAAGCCTCTTGGATGAAACTTCTTCAAGGAACTCAAGCAAGTCCAGCTGCTACCATTTCTGAAATCAATCACTCAGTGAGTAAATGTGTGTGAATGTGGCAACAGAAATAAATAAATTAGTTTTAATGAATCCATGAACCCCTGGAGTTTAATACCTCGTGTTCAAACCTGCACACTCAGGACGTGTTTGACGTGCTGCAGAACAAATGTCGTCCATGTCAGAGGGATTGTTGTGTTTATCTGTAAAGGTTACAGCGGTGCGCCTTCTAAATATAGAGGGTCTTAACCCCGTGTCCCCTCTGAAATCTACACCTATAAATGTTTATGTTACCCAGAGACACCCGAGCGGGAACGGCCCTGCGGTCGATCCAGAAGGACACCCAGGACAGGACGACCATCAGCATGGTGGGGAAGTAGGTCTGCAGCATGAAGAAGAAGATGTGCCGCCGCAGGATGAAGTTGATGAACAGACGATTGTACCAACCTGACAAACACGAGCAGAAAGTAAAGAACGGATGCAAAACAATCTCTTTTCATTTTAAACCTCTGGCTGCGGGGATTTGCTCCCATTCAGTCACAACAGCATCAGTGAGATCAAACAGTGACTTATTTGTGTTTCCTGAAGGTGTCGGGAGAGTTCGGCTGTGTCTGTATCGTAGGAGACGACATATTCGTATAATCAGAGTTTATTCTCTATTTATTTATGTTTGGTCTGTTTTATGTGTCATTCATGACTTCAGTTTTTAAATCATGTTAATCTGCATGTTGACTCCTCAGTCAGCGCTTCATCTCTAATGTTTATTGTAGGACTTGATTCTCTTGTTTCTGTTTGTTCTGTTGGGTTTTAACATCTCAGACCATCGAGGGTTCTTCTGCTCGATCTTCTCTGATTTGCTTGAAACTTTATCACGATAAAATGTGCATATTAAAAATGGCATCTGTGGAATTTTTAGACTGATTTATCAAACAATCTGCGAGATAAAGTAAAACGACAACATCTCAGGAAGTAGAAAAGACAAAACCCTCAACTTTGACTTTTATTTCTCATCGTAACATTAATAAATGATCAAAGACCTGTTTATGTTATTTACATTTCAGGCAAATCAGAGAGTGTCCACATACTTTTGGCTGTGGCCCTCTTACACGACGTTGTCTTATTTTCTGTAACTGATGCTCAGCAGTAAATCCTTCTGAATCACCTTCTGTAAACAGAAACTGCTTTCAACGTGAATCCAGGATATTAATCCGCTTAATCCCAAAACCTGCCAGTAGGTCTCAAAAGCACGGAATCCTTTTTTTTTTTTTTTTAAATGCCAAAATTACACCATATTTATTAGGAATGAAGAATTGTTAAATCATCATCTTTTCTGCTCCTTGAACTACTTTTTTATGATGTGAAGTTCCATCGCAAACAAATAAAATAAAATCACTTTATTCTACATGGTTTGTTAAAAAAAAAAAATCACTAAAAATAAACAGTTTGCAATAAACAGATTCTGTAAAAAAACAAAAAATTCTGTGATCCTCAGCAAAAAGATTAAGATATTAGTGACTGAGCTGCAACACACAGTCATGACGCAAAAATTCATGGACTTTTTAGGCTGAACTGTGGGCAGAGAGCAGATAACAGACCAGTGAGGAAACTAATGAAAAAAGGTGAATATTACCGTAATGTTTGGACTATAGAGCGCACTTGAATATAAGCTGCACCCACTAACTTTAAAAAGAAAACTAGTTTTGTGTATATATAGGCCTCACTTGTCGACTCAGTCTTTCTTTCGTTGTCGCTCTCAATGTCACCTTCGTTTCGAGGCAAATTCGTAAAAATCCATAAATTAGCTTCATCATTGTTCAAAGCGTGTGAAAAAAGTAGCTGCTTATAGTCTGGAGTTTACGGTAAATATCTATAGTATGTAGAGCCACTGTTATGTCCAAGGGGCAATTTTTGTTTGGCAGATTTTTCCCAATTTTTGAAAAATAATCTATAAAATTCAACTTTTGTTTGTTCTTTTGTATGATTTTTGGCTCTTTAACTGTGTACTGTCTTTCTTCACAGCTGTTCTGTTTCCATAGAGCTGCAGGACTTCATGCTGCAGTGGGAAGTGATTCTTTTTTTTTTTTTTTCCTCCAATTTTTTGGTAAATAAATAATGAAAGAAATTCAACTTTTGGTTTTTCATTTTTGTGATTTTTGGCTTCTAACTGTGTCACGTTGGCACAAAACCCTCCACTGAGTTCTTCCTCCTTCTAGCCAAGGTCGTTCTGTTTCCTTGCACTGAAGGAAAACAAACACATAAATAAAATATAATTGCAATTTTGAAGATTTCATGAAACTTTTTCTTAGTAATGTTAACCAACGTTAGCTGGTTTGTCTATATGAGTCTGTGCACGTCTCTATATGGGGGTTTCAGGTCTGATGTTGTTTGCATATGAAACAAAAAGCAGTGAAATCTACCTTTTTTTTGTATTCAACATGTATAATAAAGCTTTTAAATGTGTTAAAGTGGGTTTCAAAATGTCTAGTATGGATGCACATCATTAAAACGCTCTTAAATGTGAAGCTACAGTTTAGCAGCCAGTTCTGTTGCACATATTGATTCCAGGTTGGGTCACTTTAATTTTTATGCTTTATCGTTCTCTCTCCTTCTATCCCTGGTTGTTCTGTTTCCATAGAGGGTCAGGACTTTATGTTGCAGTGAAAATGAGCCCACAGTGGGTTAAACTGTGCCAGACACACACCGGTGCTGCTGTAGAAAGCCAGGCCGCTGGAGGCTTGGAAATGCTCGATGAAGAACTGTGACAAGACGATCTCGTCCGTCCTCAGGGAGTCGTTGCCGTTCTTCCAGTAGAGCATCAGGTCGTTCTCGTTGTAGGCATCTGCAGAGAAGACGCAGGCGTCAGAGGAAAGAGGACGTGAAAAGCTGTCTGAACATGTCTGAACGTATGTGAACGTCTCACAGCTCTCCAGCTCCAGCGAGCAGTTCTGGGTGTCCAGGGGGAAGCTGCTGAAGTCCATGGAGCAGAGCGCCGTCACCGTCACCCTGAAACACACCAAGCACATCTCACTGCAGGTACTCGGCGTGTCCTCGGCAGACCTTTCTCCCTCCTGTTGCCACGGAAACCGCAGCACAACACGTCCCCGCGGCTCGTTCAATTATCAGCCGCCTTTCGTGGCGAGACGGCAGCAAAGAGAAACGTTTCAGCGCATCTTCAGAGATTCATGCAGAAGGCTGGAATCTCACAGAGCACCTTCACGGAGGCGTCTGATCGCTGCCAAACTCACTCTGCAGCATGAAAACGAGCCCAAACATGAAGTCAGAGGCACACAAGAGCATCTGCAGGTGTATTAATGTTAAATATACGTTTAGTTTTATTCACAAAAGGCCAAAAGAATTAGTTTAGAGGTGATTTTCTGCTTTAAAATGTCATAAAAACAAACTAATCTTCCACAGTTATTAAATATTCTCCTTTGTAAAACCTTCTGTGTTTATTTTTCCTGACAAATGAACATTAACCTCATAAATGTGCAGCCATACAGCAGATTCATTTCTTGTATTTCAGTATCGGATTCACCAAACGTCAGTGAGTCTAATACGTTCCTCTGATGGATTCTTGAACAAAAAGCAAAATGTTTGTTGCTCATTTGCACCAAAGAATATCGTCGCTGGTTTGCAGATGTCATCCGAGGCCTCAACAACGTTTTCAAATGTTGTTTCGAGAACGTTCTCCTTTGTTATCGTGGAACATAATCTGAATGTTGACATTAAAATATTATATTAAACCTAAAGGATCATTTCTAGACATTAACATTTCATAATAATATTAATATTAATACTTATATGGGGCTTTTCAAGATGCTCAAAGACGCTTTATAAAGTAGGAACAAACAAACAAACAAAACAAATAAAACATAATACCAAGTTTGAACATTTGACGAAACGTTTTCTTAGTAATGTTAACCAACGTTAGCTGGTTTGTCTATATGAGTCTGTACACGTCTCTATATGGGGGTTTTAGGTCTAATGTTGTGTGCATATGAAACAAAAGCAGTGAAATCTACCTTTTTAAAGCTTTTAAACATCCTAAAGTGGGTTTCGAAATGTCTAATTTGGATGCACATTATTAAAATGTGAAAAAACTGAGAATTCGTCGCTCAGTTTTCCGTTAACCGCCAAAGTGGAAGCTGGAATCAGAAGCTAAATTCGGCAACGTTTTTTAATTTGAAGCTACAGTTTAGCAGCTAGTTAGCTTAGCTTTGCAAAAAGACATAACTTGTTTAAAAAAAGGACTTAGCGTGCTATTATGAAGCCATGCTAACTGTTCTCCTCTGTTTCCAGTGTTTATGCTAAGCTATGCTAACGGGGGGCTAACAGGTGTCGTAGCCAATCATCTTCCACGCAGGACTTTCACCTGTAGGAGTGTTGTCACAGTTTTACCTGACGCTGTAGAGGATGTTTCCGTCGGGGTAAACCCGCAGCATGATGTTCTCCATGGTGGTGTCGTGGATGAACGAGCGCTTCGAGTGCACGAAGAAGACGTCGGGAACCCAGATCTTCTTCACCAGCCGAGAGTCGAACGTCCGGCTCTGGTTGGTCCGAGACGGGAACGAAAGCCGCTCGTCCTTCCAGTAGTGACGCAGGTACAGAGTCATGGTGAAGTCCTGCAGGGGGCGACAAAGGAAGCCTGATATCAGTTCTTATTTTTGATGACTATTGAGTTGAACTGCAGGCTGTGTAGAGAGGAAAATAAAACATTCCTGATCAATGAAATAAAAGCAGCGTGGCTCAAAACGATAAACAGAGGAGCAAGTTGTTGGGAGATACATTCTGCATCATGAAACATCTTTCTGCAGCTAATTATGTTCAACTTTTGTTCAACAAAAAAAAAATCTGAGTTTTGGTTTTCTTTTTCTTTTCAAAGAATTGATGGTTTTATAACAGGCTGCCATGACAACACCATCCTCTCCCTGTTTATCTCTGCTGGGCGGAGGAACGGTTCAGTAACCGAGTTCAAAGACGAAACACTTGAAGGGTCACAAACCAGACGGAGCGGCAGGAAGCAGCTTCAGCGTCAGCACCGAGTTTTATCTTTGACACTTTGCACGAAGGGCATCAATTAAAAACCCTCAGAAGTTCCACATAACGATGCCTCGACTGAAGCTGCCGCACATAAAGACTCAAGGACAGAAAATGTGAATAAAATGTTATTATGTTTTGATTTTAGAGAAAAAGAGGTAAGATATATCTGAGCTCACATCTATCATTATGATATGTACAGGTGTTTATTTATGAAGCATTTTTTAAAAACAAAGTGTGAAGGTGCAGCATGAAGCAGACGGAAGATAAAACCAAGCAGCCGGCAACAAACATATATATAAAGAACAAAATAATAAAATAACCACAATGTCAGGGTGAAAAAAACAAAACTGAAAGTCAGTTTTTACTCCTTGAAATGCACTCATTCGGTGCAAACTTAATAAAATTTGTCTGCAAAAAACTTTAAGGTAAACATAGAAGCAAAAATGTAACTAATAATAATGCACATTACATTTGTTGTTATTGTTGTTCTTCTTCCTGTTGTTGTTGTTGTTGTTAGAATTATTGTTGTAGATCTTACAAATTGCTGTTGCTGTTACAGTTATTGTTGTTATAATTATTGTTATTTTTACTATTTATTCTGTTATTTTTGTTGTTCTTATTGCCATTATTGATATTAATGTTTTTGTTTTGCTATTGTTTTGTTTTGTTGGTATTGTTTTTATTGTTCTAGTTAATATTGTTGTTATTTTAATTATTTTTAATGTTATTGTTATGGTTGTTATTGTTTTGGTTTTTATGGCTGTTGGTTTTGTTGTTGTTGACATTATTGTAATTATTGTCGTTGTTACTGTTATTATTGAAGTTGTTGTTGTTGTTGTTGTTGTTGTCGTTGTTCTTGCATTGATGAGCTTTTTCCTTCAACTTGGGATTTTAATGTTTTTATTCATTCAAATGTTTTAACGTCTTTTTCTCTGTTAGATTTCTTTTCTCTTTTATTTTTTTGTAATTTGACTTGATGTCATTTAAAAACAGCCTCAACAATCCTCTGGTATATAAAACAAAAACAAGCTTGTATGAACTCATGCAGTCGGTTCTGTGGGGGTTAGCGAGCAGCAAAGATCTGTTTTTCTGACTCGGTCGTGGATGAGAAGGACAATAAAAACACATGAGGCTTGGTGTTTATGAAGCGTCTCACCATGTTGACCTCTGAGATGCTGTCGATGCTCTCCACCTGCACGTCGATGCCGACAGGGATGGCCGAACCTGAAACAGCAACACAGAACGTCATTAGCTTTCTGCTCAGTTGCTCATAAATCTGTGACAGTTTGTGCCTCCAGCGACGCTTACAGGACAAAACCCGACCTGTGTTTGCATGAAAGGTCCCGAAGGTCGACACAGAACCAGCTGCATTTGGTTTAGTGACGTTATTTATTTATTGCGTCGGGAGACAATTAACGAACATGTTGTTGTTCATAAATCAACGCTGAATAAACTACCATCAGAAACAACTAAGCTTCCTACCAAACATGCAGCAGCACACCTGCCTTAGGAGCTAACTGAACGAGGGTGTGGTGGGAACGCTGGGCTCGGCCCAGTTTACAGGCAGTCAGACCAGTGTGAAACCCAGCAGCAGGTCTAACAGGCTCACACTGAATCACAGCCGCCCTCACTGACAGATGAAGAGCTTCTACAACCAGGTGTGGAGTCTTCTGCAGCCTGACTGGGTCACAGCGATCCAATCAGGCTTCAGGGTGAACAGGAACGAGGACTGACCTGCATTCTGTTGTTCCTTCAGCTCTACTACAGCTGCATGCTCTGTGATAAAAGCTAGATCAGCTGTCTGTGCACTTTGGCAGCTCAAACTCGAGCGAGGTATGTGATGCATCTTGGGCCCTGCAAAGGATTGTGGGTCAGAAAAGCATTCTGGTATTTTTGGCACGCTGCATTCGACACACTACGTACAGGGACGCAATAAATCCTTCACTAGCTTCACTACAGTGTCCATACAAAGGACCCACCCTCTGGAGGTTCTCTGAATCATGGGGAATTAAAAATTGGTGTTTTTGACAAGAATTTACCAAAAAAAAGACTCAACATGAAAACTGATTTTTAGTGTCAATATATTAAAAAAGACATAGTGATTTCATAATCAGCACATCTCGACACTAACATTTTAACACAATAAGTTAAAACTTGTCCAAAATGACTTTGAATTTGTACAATTTTACCCAAAAGTTTTCAAAATGACTAAAAAATTGTCCAAAATGACTAAAAAATTGTTCAAAATTACTTTAAAAGGGTCCAGGATGACTTGAAATTTGTACAATTTTATCCCAGATTTGTCAAAATGACTCATAGTCATAGTTCATTGGAAAGTTGTTCAAAATGACGCAAATATTGTCTGAAGTTAATAAATCCTTGCCCAAATTGAGTTAAAGCATGTCCAAAATGACCTGGATTTTGTCAAGTTTTACCCAAACTTTGCCAAAATGACTCATAAATGACCTAAATGTGTGGACAACAAGCAAAAAACGGTCCAAAAATAATTCAAAAGCTGTCCAAAAACAACTTAAAACATGTCCAAAACGACTAAAAGTGTGTCTAAAATGAGTTCTAACTTGTCCAGAATGACTTGAAATTCATCAAGTTTAACCCAGAATTTGAGAAAATAACTCAAAAACCGTCCAGAATTATTCAAAACGTGAAACAGCTTGAAGGACAGACAAAGACTCAACACTTGGTTCTCCTTACAGTCAGTAAAAGAGGTTCACATTTGAAATTCGACTGTTCCAGGTTTCCAGTTTGTGTTTTTACTTCCAGTCAGAAACTCATTTTCCATCAACGTCTGCATGGAGCCAAACACACTGACACATGTTCTCTTTAGAGTTTTTCTTTTTGTCTGGAAAAACTGAATATTTTGAACGATTTGGATTAAAACTGGTAGAAACGACTGAACAGAAGATCAGGTTCAGGGCTCAGTTACTTCTTGTGCTTCTGTCTCTTTAATCCCATCACCGGTTCTGGTCCGCAGACCTCACTCTGGTCACTCCGTCCTCTTCCTTCGCCACCGGCCGACCGCGGCCGTCTGTCTTCGTCGCCGCCCCTCCTCCGGCCGCCTCATTAGCAGATTACGCTCGTTTAACCGCTAAACCTGAACAACCTGATTTGTGCACACAAACAGAGCAGAAATAGCCCAACAGCACAAATCCCCAACAAAAAACCCAGCGAGGCTTCAATCAGCGCTGCTCGCTCACTGTTTGCTGCTCCGCTTCCAGCAAACAATCAGGACCTGACAGAGTTTGGAGCTTTTCAGGATGTTTGTGCGTCTCCAAACCACCTCTAGTCATGTTTCGTGCTCTCCTCCGTAAACCTACGCAGCTAATTTTAGGATTCATCCGAAAGCGCTCGTTCCTGTTCCGACCACAAGCATCAACAATGACTTTAAGCTGCAGAACTTTTAAAGCTAAACGTTACACAATGAGGGGCTCGTCCGAACCCTGTTTGGATGGTTTGCACTGCTGAGTTGTTTCAGCTGCATTTAAGTCACTGTTCTGGATGTAGAGCTGCTCAAAACTACTCGTTGAATAAGTGGAATCTGCTGAAGCACACAGGTCACAGGTGGTTTTCTGTTTTGATCTTCTGCAGCAGGATGATGCAAGAAACTGGCTCAAGAACCTCACAGGGAACAAAATCTGCAGATGTGAATCAGGCAGAACACATCTGGGACGAAGTGAATCCAGCAGATGAGCGCACATCTGCAGAAATACACATCATGGAGCAGAATCTGATCAGGAACCGACAGTCTGTGGGTCAGCCGGCTCTGCAGAAACCGCATTAGAGCTGTAGCTGAAAGAAAGAACGCGGAATAAGATTTTGCATTTCACTGTTTTTTCACATTGCAATTTACTCAAACAGTAAATTACTCTATAACTGATTAGAGACTCTGCAGCAGAATGTGACATTAGTGTCTAATAATAAACTGTATTTATGTTGCAGATGTTGCATCTCGTTTGTGTGAGTTTTGCCTCAATTTTTAATACTTTTCTGTCTCACTTTTGTTATTTAGTCTCGTTTTTATTTTGTGTCTCGTTTGTTACAGTTTTGTCTCCTTATTGTTGTTTTGTCGTGTCTCTTTTGTCGTATTTGTGTCACTTTATTTTAAAAAAGCACCAAATCTACACCATTTATAAGAGCCAGAAGTTATAAAAACAGACAAAAAATGAGCAACTCTCCATCAGTTCTTGAACTAATCCCATGTGAGCTGAATTTCATCTGGACAATGAGTCAAACCTGAGCTTCAAATCATAATAAATCATCAGAATCACTTTACTCTGCACGTCTCGTATCGAAATCTGCACGAATCAGATTCTGTAAAAACACCAAAAATGTCTGACTGACTGAGATTTTTGCGGATTTCGTCTCAACAGAGCAGAAAATAAAAGCAGCGTGGCTCAAAAACAGAGCAGCAAGTTGTTGGACGATACATTCAACACGGTGAAACATCTGTGGTGAGCTGTGCACATTAGGATCTGGTGTAAAAGGTTTATTTTTCAGGCAGTTTCTTAAATGCAACATGCAGAATAAAGTGGTTTTGACGATGTTAAGCTGGACTACTGTTCTAGTCAATCACACGTTACAGGATTCATTAAGGACCACCAGAGAGCTGAAAACCTCGTGATTCTTTCTGTTTCTACAGTTTGTGATAAATGACGCAACACTGATGACTTTTCAGTTACGAACATATGACAGAGTTTTCTCGTCAGGGTTCAGGTGGAGTTGAGGTGTTCTGGTTGCATCAGAGCAGTTTGGATGTGAGATAAACATCCATCCATGAGAGTCGACTCAGTACGGAAACAATGCTTCTATTTTTTTTCTCCCCCTTTTGCAAATCCTGCAAATCACCGAAACCATGTCTGCTGGTTAAGAGTGCCCAAACCCAGACGCTCACTCTGGTCTGCTTGCGACCTCCGTCTGGACTTGGTTTACCGGCTCACATTCCTGCTTTCACCCTCAAGGACGGCAAGAAATAAAAAGCTTTCCTCCGAGGTGTCTGGGTTGTTTTTTTTTTGTGGAAAGCAAAGTGTGTTCATTTGGCCTGAATGTTCGAGGACCGGCAGCTCAATAAACACTTCGCTTAATGAAGTTCATCTGACAGGCCGGACCGTAAAGCTCCTGCTGCAGCCGGCTTTGTCCCGGCGACTCGTAAAAACCACCAGCAGAGCGGAGTCAACACTCAGCGTAACCACGGCGACGAGTGCCGGCGGTGGGAAAAACCTGAAGCTGAAGGTCACCCAGTCTCCCTCTACTTTCTTTACTGCTTTCCTTTTCCCATGTCACACCCAGTCAGGGTATGTTTGAGGCATGAGGCTGCGTTTTATAGACGGACGCGTGCAAAAGGAGGTCAAGCTGAAGCCAAACGTATACACGAGGATTCAACAATCAAAACGAGACGCTGCATCGAGAAGAAATCAGAAGTGTTCAAGGTGACTCTGACTCTAACGATCAGCTCGCCAATAAAAGTTTAAAGACAGACTGAAGTTAGAAACCAAATTACCCAGATTTAACCGAGTTGGAAAAACGTTTTATCTGTTGCTTAGAATAACCTGAGCCTGAGAAACGCTGTCTGCACGAAATCAGCCTGCCTTGATATAAAACTGAATCCTTTTCCTCGTTGTGAAGCATTAACCAAACTAATCTCTGGCTGAAAAACCTTGAGATTTAAACAAATGAATGAAATGCTGCATTTGTGAGCTGTTTGCCGGGAGGTTCTCGGGGTGGATGTCGACCAGATCAATGGAGTAAACTGGAGATAAACCACATTTACATGATGTCAGCTGTGGTTTCTGGCCTGAATTTGTTGTTCAGTTTGTGTGTTTGAACACAGAAAATGTAGAAAGTTAATCAGAAAATTATGTTTATTCTCATTTTTTCTGACACAGATGCACACGGACGCATAGGAACAGATTTTAAAATTGCTGCCAGGATGTGAAAAACAATTCCAGATGAATTTTTGATCCTTATTTCAACCCGATTCTTGCATCTGATGCTTTTGTCGCTGCGCCTAAATGGAAACACTCATGATTGCTTTGCAGTCGGACATTGTCTGTTTTTATGAACTACATGTGACAAACCTTGGCTGCTTGAGGCCGTTGTTGATTCACGTTTTCTCGACGATACCCTCTTACAATCAGCTTTTATTCGCTCCGCTGTGTTTCCAACCACAGAGAGCCGAATACCAGACGTGCCTGAGTCACTGGAGGACT